CACCCCCCCTCCAGCTCTGAGCCCTGGACACAGAAGGACGGCGGTGAAGGATGGGGGCCGGATCGCAGCCCCCCCCCACACCAAGCAGTGGCGACAAACGCAGTGCCGGGTCCCCAGCCACACGCCGGGCTGTGCCGCGGTGCTTTCCATGGAAAAGCATCATGATTTTTTTTTTTTTTCCCCTCAATTTTTTAAAATAAAATACTCAAAACAGCCCCCATCCCAACTCCCCCCAAATCGCGGGGGGCTGAGACGGACCGGAGGAGCACATTTCTGGCCAACCCCCCCCCAAACCCCAACAATAACAACTCGCGGGTGCTGCGATGCGCACCGCTTTCATCTCGAGGATGGGAACGGAGCAAGAAAATATATGAAAAAAAGGGGGGGATGGGGGGGTGGGAGGGGGGGGGTTCTGGGAACACGGCCCCGAGCGGTGCCGTGGCCGGGCCGGCTCCTGGCAGCCTGCAGTCTGATGCAATCGGCGGCGTGACGGGGCCGCTCCGGCGGTTCCCCACCTGTATTTGCCATTGTGTGCCCGGAGCTGTTTGCAGGTGTTTGCTGGCGCCGCGCTGTCTGAGCCGCACTTCCCTCCTCCTCCTCCCTCTGCCGGCCCGGCCAAGGCCTCCCGGCCCGCAGCCAGCCAGCCCAGCAGAGCTGGGAAACGGCACACGCGTGGCCTCGTGAACGGCTGCACGGCTCGGGGTGCAACGCGCGTGGGTTTGCACGAGGGGTTGGGGTTGCGGGGGTGGTGTGTGTGCGCGTGTGACTTTAATGCAGGCGTGTTTTTGTGTGTGCTTGCGTGCACTTTTCCCCGTGCAAATGCGTGCGGCCACCAGCGTGCTCTGCTGGCACACACGTGTGCATGCACATGCGTGCACGAACGCAGCTGCGGGACAGCACGTATGTGTGCACGCCCCTGTCATAGGAACACAGACACCACACACGTGTGCACACACTGTAGGAGCAACACCAGCACATACATGTGCACACACCATAGGAGCAACACCAACACCACACACGTGTGCACACAGCATGGGAGCACCACCAACACCACACACGTGTGCACACAGCATGGGAGCAATACCAACACCACACACGTGTGCACACACCGTGGGAGAAACACCAACACCACACACGTGTGCACACACCGTGGGAGAAACACCAACACCACACACGTGTGCACACACCGTAGGAGCAACACCAGCACCACACACGTGTGCACACACCATGAATAGGGGC